TAGTCAGGCTTGGCGGCAGAGGTCAACCTGGGACTAGCAGCCATGATATGGCTCCATGGGATATCAAGCCACAAGAACCAGTGGCCCAGCAGACATGCAATTCCATACTGGCAGCAGTAGGATGTCTAATGGCTACTAGAAAGAACATAGGTTTGGGAAATGGGGTACATGGCCAATGGGCCAGCAGCCTGAGAAGCCATAGGGAATCCATCTCAGATAGCGATTGTATCAGAAACATTAATTGCAGTGAATGTGACTATAAATTCTCACAGCTATTTGGTCTGGAGTAGCATTGGTGGCTAAGAAGGCACCAGCATGTCTCATGTACTTAAAAGGTGGTGGCGCACGCCTTTAATCCCAGCACTCGGGAGGCAGAGCCAGGCGGATCTCTGTGAGTTCGAGGCCAGCCTGGACTACCAAGTGAGTTCCAGGAAAGGCGCAAAGCTACACAGAGAAACCCTGTCTCGAAAAACCAAAAAAAAAAAAAAAAAAAAAAAAAGTTCATTCTGAATTTTATCTTTGAAGCTTGGGACGGATAAAGCATAGCAGAGTTATATGTGAGATATGTGCCAGTGCCGTGTATCAGTGCCCACTTCCTTTGATTATGATACCCTAAGAATATCATGGAATGATATTTAACCATTAGGTCCTACCCTTTTTGGAGCCAAGGTCTACCTTGGCTTGTAACCACAAACATTTCTACATGAATTCAACCTACTGTTTCTAGATCCTAAAAGAAATATGAATACTTTCGCCTTGATTTCCAAGGATGCAAGTACTCAGGCTTCAGTCATAGGATTGAGAAAAAAATCTAAGCCACCAGATCCTTAGAAACTTATAAGAAAAAGAAAATCTTTCTTACTTCTAAGCCAAACATTCGCACACCCCCTCAATATTCTTTCCTGATCAATGTAACTGTTACACTTTTGTCCTTTTGGAAAGTCACAACAAGACAGATTTATCAAAATAAACATCAGATAATAGAGTGATGAAAATAACCAGAAATGGGAAGGCATAACCACAGAGTCTATTTTGCCTTCTTTATTACTCCTTTACCCCCAAATCTCATAATTTGGTATATACGAGCCCAAACTGCAGAAATTGGCCATTTGGTCTCACGTGACCTGACTGAGTCAGCTCATCACAGAAATATCTCTAGCAAGCTTAACATCTGCTGAACGGTATTTTGCTAAGGCTGCTTGGAGCAGACACTATACGCTGCCTATAGGAGGCTCTGCTTTCATTCTAGTGTCTGTGCCTCCCACAGCAGCTCAGGTAAATTCTCTGTTATAACCTCATCATGATGATTGCCTTCTCCTTGCTGACAATTGCTTTGGATCAAAACAAAACAAAAAAACAAACAAAACAAAAGAACAAGAACTGTGGACGGGAAGTCCTGGAGAACATCTTAGGAAGCATCATCCTGACTCCTAAAGAGGCTCTAGGAGAAACAAGGTTTCTTCCGTTTCTGACAAGCACTGATGTGCAGGGACACAATGTAACATCTTCTGACCCTGAGAGGAGGCAGCTGAGCAGGAAACAACCTGGGTCCTTCAGAAGCCACAAATTAACTAGTTCTCAGGATTGACTTTTTGTGATGACATAACAGGTCCCTTTATTAAGCCATTTTGAATTAGGTTTTCTCTTTATTAAAGTCCAAAGCATCCTAAGCAATGCAGTACTACTACCTGTGATAAGCAAGACGAGGTTCTGCTTCTGTGTGCTTAGCAATACTGGGGTAATTGCATCCAAAAGAGAAAAAAAAAAAAAAAAAGGGAAGATTCATTTCTCTGTAAGTGTTTTGGGAAAATCAGCTGTGAAAGGCTGTTTTTAATAGTGACCCTGGATGTATAGAAGGTGCTTTGAAATCCTCCTACAGAGCACAGACACTGTCATAAAGTTAAGGATGAGCCACTGTGAATGATATGTGTGGGGTACGCAACATACTTGGAGTCATCAAATGTGTAAACATCAGGAAACCACCATGAAGTTGGTCTTCATTACTCATCCACTGTTCTTTAGTTCTTGTTTCTGTTGTGAGCCACCCCTGCCCCATGTGTACCTGGTGAAGCCACAGAAATACACCACACACACACACACACACACACACACACACACACACACACACACACACACACACACAAACGGGGAGGGGGAGGGAGAGGGAGACAGAGACAGAGACAGAGACAGAGAGAGAGAAAGATGAGGCTTAAAGAGGAAGAAGTGCAGAGATCCAAAGCTAACTGGGCCTGATTTTCTTCATAACAAAAATGCTTTGTGTATTCCTTTAGAATAAATTCATGTGCTTAGAGCTCAATTTAATGCAAAATCTGGAGAAATCAAAACAAGATCTTTTTAAGACCAATTTAATGATGACAATAATATCTTTTGTGTTTGAAGTGTTGATTTTCTTCATCTCACATGCTTCAAATTTCCAATTCACATTCCTCTCTAATACCATCTCCCTCTCCTCGAAAATGTTTCTACATGGCCCCTCCTGCAGGCCAGGGCCTCTCAAAGGTCTGTTTGTGTATGATGTATCTGGGAAAGAAGCAGAAATGCAGCAGTTGCCAGTACAGGCACAGTATGACCCAGAGATGCCAGTGTGAACCAGCACTCTGGGTGGCTCCAGCCACACTTGCAGGTAAGTGACTCCAGACTGTACACTAGATCCCGGCACAAATAGAAAACATCTAATTATCATAGGAGCTTTAAGCTGGATCAACACAAACATGCACATGGTTGCCTGTAATTTTGATGTTCCCTTTGAGGTCTGGAACAAACCCAACTTCCCTGTGACTTGGATACATCTTAGCAATAATTTTGCTTTAGAGGTCAGGAGTTTTATCTTTCCCTTCCAAGCCCCACCCCAGCCCCCCAAATGTATTTTTTTCTTGAGTTTAAACATACAGTTTATATAAATTTTATAGAAATATAAAACTTTATAAAATATAAAACAAACAAAACCCCACACTACATAATGTCTGACTTTGAACCAGAAACTGAGATACCCAAGCAAACGCAAACAGTAGGCAAGAGGAGAAGCAAACACTGGGTTTTCCAGCAGTCGGCCCTGAAACCAAAACTTAGGAAGGAAGCTGACCATTAAGCAAGTGGCCAGGGAACAATAGCGCAGGCCAGTCCTAGGCTAAGTCTGAGCCAGAGAACATTGGAATTAAACAAAGCTTATGCCCTGAGCTCAGTTTCCCTCACAGCTGGGCTCTAAAATAAGGACAGCAGTGTAAGCCAGAGCATTGTTCAAGTAGGATCTGAGAACTCCTTAGCTCTAAAGAAACTCTGAGCAAGGCTCCTCCACCCATCTCTCTCAAGGGCATCTTAGAGCTCAAGCTCTGTGGAGCAAGGGCACAGAGCAGAGCTGAGAGCTGGAGTCTGTTTCAACTCAGCAGCTCTAACCCACAGTAAGGCAAAGGCGCTAGCTGATTGGTAGACGTCTTGGTGCTTAAATGAATAAAGAAAAGGCATAAGGCCAAGACAACTGTCATCAAATTACACAAAAGGCTCCAGACATGCAGTGGAATAAACAACCCCAGAAAACAAACCAACAAAAAATCAGTATACATTGGTTAAAAGGTAAGAAGTCAAGACCACTGGCACAACTTGTATATTCTATCTAGTTATCTTAAGTTGGAAAGAGGATGGACTGTTTTTTATTATTTTAATCATCTTCTTCTTTAAAGAGCCTTAACAGGGCTGGAGAGATGGCTCAGCCGTTAAAGGCTAGGCTCACAACCAAAAATAAAGAGCCTTAACAATCCTCAGGGCAATTTACAAATGGGAAAAATTTCAATACAGGTTCTGATGGATCATCATTAACTCTTAACCCAACTAAGTTCCTTCCAATCACACTGCTTCCGGCTGATCTCCAACCCTTCTCTCTTCCAGCTGCTCCCAGCCAGCTGCAGAGCCACTCGAAGACTCAGGGGCCATCACCAACTCACAAGCACCATTCACATACTCAGCTGAGTGTGCACCTGGAGCCTCCCATTTTAGTGTCTGCCTGAGTATGCAAAGTTCTGTTTGTAAGGATAGAAACTAGTTCTCTAGGTAGCAAATGCCTGACTTTGGGATGTCCATAAGAGCACCACATTCATCTCAGAGCATCAGGAGCTGTTTTCTGAGACCATGCTCCCATTACTTTAAGCAAATTTCATCAAGATTCTTTTGAAATTTGGGGGGTATTCTCTCTGCAAACTCACATGTTCTCAACTATGCTTCCTAATTATTTCTGAATGTGTAGTTCTGATACAGCATCACAAAAAAAAAAAGAAAGAAAAAAAAAAAGGAAGATCAATGATGGAAAATTCCTTGATTCTGCATATTTGTTTTTCACTAACACTTAGAACATCCTTGGTTCTTTACAATAGCCTTGTAAATCTTTATGGTAGACTAATGTGTGCCCCTCCATGAAAGGTAACATCAAGTGCTTGACGGGTGTACGAAAACTAACCATACCAATCTCCTATAGCTGAGTATCAACTTACCCCAAAGGGTTGTTTAAAGGCACGTGCGAAGCACTGGTGAAGGGTGGGCTTGTAGCACATCAGTTTGGCAAGTTTAGGGCTTTATGGGTTGAGTAAACGCCACACATTCATCCGCTACCACCACTACTTGCTCCAAATCCAAATTCTGTAACCACACAACATACTGTTCTTCCTCGGTCATCAAACGAACATCTAGACCCTGAAAACTCCACGAGGACCTGACATATAATGGCTGATATACTCTGGATTGACCTTGAGCACTGCAAGAGCAAACTGCCATTTGACCTCAGGTGACCTACACTGCGGCCCTCTGCAGGCTCCCTGGCAAAGGCCACCTGGCACTTAGTGTGTTCTCTGCAGTTACCACAGCACATGGTTCTTTCCCGAGCCTTCTCCCTACCTGACGCAACAGCAGGAGAGAGAGACACACACTGACCTCACTGTAAAGGTCAGAACTCTCTGGGGCGAGGGACAAGGAGCGGTAGCAGAGGAACCTACTTTGCCAGGTGGTTCATGAGCAGCTGCAACATCTGCCGATTCTTCTCCGGGAGCCGATGAACAAGGCTGTGGATCTCAGAGACTCGAGTCTCTTGGTTTTCCAGCTCTGTGAAGGAAGGCGGTCATGTTTTATGGGAGTCACAGCTAAGTGACTGGACAAGACAAGACCCGGGGAAACTAAAGCTTCAGCCCTAACACAGGGAAGATGTTCTCGAGGATTTACAACCCTGTCTTGTGTGAGTGCTCAGGGCCAGCATGGCTAGCTCTGAAAGGCCTTTCGACGTGCTTTCTGTATCAGAGTTCACGCAAATAACGACTGTGATGAAATGGAGCCGGTCAACTGCACACCCAGGGAGGGAGCAAACACGGGGGCAGCTGGCTCCCTAGAGGGTCAGCTTCATTTCAAGGAAAGAAAGAACTTTATGCACTTGTGAAGTGGTAAACAGATCTTATGTGAACATTACAAAGGTCTCAAATTTCAAAATAACGCATCTGGACACATCAAAGTAATCCACACTGAGCTTACGTGCAACACACCAGCCTAGTGGAAAGAAAGCAGTGACAGATAAAATAGCTAAATCTTTCTGTCACTCTATGACCTATAACATAGCCTGTCACCTTTAGATTAAACTTGGGAAAGTAGTTCTGTGTCTCTGGGAAATAGATTGCTAATACTCATCATACCTATTTATGGAAGTGATGTGAGGTTTAATTAGAAAATGATTGCTATGGGTTTGGAATTTCTCCTGAGAAAGAATTCACATAAACACCATCTTCACTCCCCCATGCCTTTCCCCTCCTTATTGAAGAGGACAAGCTCAAGTATGTAAGGCTAGCAGAACATTAGGTACTATAAAATTAGGCCAGTAGTGTTACCAGGATAAACAAACCCTAAAGGCTAAAAGGAACCAGGGAGAGGTACAAGCTATGGGCATCATAATACCAAGAGCAGTCCTGCCAGGTTTAAATCTGATAGAGAACCTAGCTGCCCCGTTACTGCTGGTCTGTTCCACGTAGACAGATTCCAGTACACTTAGGGTAGCTTGAACCTAATCCCTACGTATTTTAATACCAGTAATATGAACTAGGGGCCTCAATGATAGAGCCAAAGAATGATCAGAAGTTGTAAATGGAAGGCATGGTGGAAAAAAAAAAGACTGTGAAGTTACATAAATGGTGTCATACTCAGGGAAACACTTCCAATGCTCAACTTAGGAAATGTACAATGTCTGGTTCATTCTGCAGAATGCTACTTTAAGGACGGGGGGTGGCGGGGACAAACCCAAGAAGTTACAACTCTAATAATCAAAACTGCCTTTCTCTCTCTTCTCTCCTCCCTTCTATTCCCCTCCCTCCCGGCCAAGAAAAAGAGGTTTTCCTCTTCCACTGCGAAGTCAGAGTGGCAGTGAGGCCCCCAGGACTGGATGCCACTTCGTTTCTTTCCGTTACAATTTCATAAGCTTGTATGCAGACATTTTGCATGTAGAATGTGGCAGGCTAGACAGTCTTTATTTTGGGATTCTGAATGTTCCTCGAAATAGAAAAATCTATTCTTTTTCTCCTTGAAACTTCAACCCAAAGATGCTTACTTGCCGCTTTGATGAAACTTCTTTGAAACTGGTACATCATGAGTGGTCCTGGAAGCATTCTAGAATAAAAATACATAGACAGAGGCAAGTCAGTTCCACAGTAAAATGATTGCTCTTGCTGAGCAGCACGCTGAATACTGCCAAACAGCATAGCACAGCTCTAACACACAGAGCACAGAGAAACAACAGCCCTTGATGTAGGAGTACTGACTGAAAGTATATGACATTTCACCTGAAATTCTCAGTTTCACGCTTTCTACACCTCTTCCCCACCACCAGCATCTTGTTATGTCACTGAGGATGTCTACTTCCCAGATGCTGGGGTTACAGATGTTTGTGCCAGTCTGTCCCTCTTTCCTTTTGAAAAGGATAGCTACAACTATGCATCAGTCATAGAGCAGCAAGGGCTTTTGCAGAACTTCAGCACAAACCCAAAGACCTCCTTTCAGTCATCCATGAACAAAAGTGCACTAGGACATGAGTGAGAAACAAGCAACCAGCTTCATATCTGCATCAGTTGGCCTTAGACTCTCATTGCCCCAGAAGCTTGTTGTTGAAATTAGTGCTTCTAGAAACAGCATAAAAAATTTGTGTAGGTGTTTTGCTTCTAAGAGGAATATTACTTCAAAGTACCAAAGGGATACAGGACATTGTATCAACTGTGTGTGAACATGATGAACTACAAATGAGCTTTTTCTGATAATTCAGAAAATAATGAAACATTCTTCATCATTTGTTGCTCAGATTTCATTCATCAGCCTAGCATCCCCAACTCAACTCTTAGTCAGCCCTTGCCCGGCAGCTCCCTCTCTCAATGCCCCAAATAAAGCCTGCGTGACCAACTCCTTTTCTGTAACTTCCTTCTCTGTCTAGTCACATGGATCTTCGTAAAGCCTGTACAGAGGCTTACTCAACCCATAATTCCAGTCCTTCTCCTTAAGGCTACAACCCATCTTCCTGTACAACTACAACAAAGAATTGCAGTGTCCCTACTGAGTGCAAGTTTCAGGGCTCTCTCTCTCTCTCTCTCTCTCTCTCTCTCTCTCTCTCTCTCTCTCTCTCTCTCTCTCTCTCTCTCTCTCTCTGTGTGTGTGTGTGTGTGAGAGAGAGAGAGAGAGAGAGAGAGAGAGAGACAGACAGACAGACAGACAGACAGACAGAGATGCAAGCAGTGAGCCAATAGTCTAAATGAAGGATAGAGGGGGGGCAATGATATTGTATATAATAGTATAAAGTAATATTTCCTTTCTTCCTCCCTCCCCTCCCCATTTCTTCAGTTAACCACACTAGCAGAGACCAAATGACAATCTCCAAATGGCAATTTTCCCACATCTACCTTCTCATTTTTAAGGACCAATGCAAGTAATATATTCTGTGTAAAACACAAAATAATCACAATAAGCTGCATATGTAATCAAGTCTGTTCAAGGGAGTAACATATGAGTTCTTGTTTTCTTAGCAGAGCACTCAGGGAAGGCCACAATTTGGGGCATGTCTAGGGCTAATCATCTTAACACATCTCATTAAGAGTAGGGCTTTCTAAATCACTCCTGGCACCATTGCACACTGACAGCCCATCAACCCAGGGCAATTTATAATCGGCCTGACTGGCTGAACTTAATGCTCCCACACAGAAGCTGTTTCCACATCTCAAACACCCACCCAGCAGCTCTCTGGAGGCTGCAAATAAAACTGCTTTCTTCCTGACAGCATGCTAACTAAGTGGCTTGCTGCTCCCAAGAGGCAATCCCCACCTCAGGTAGGTCTTTAGAGCACTAGTGACCGTCTTTATCTCCCATTCCGCACAGATATCGGTTTCTGTCTCAGAAGCTGCTTTGGGATCTAGAATGAAAAAAAAGATAATGAACAAAACAAAGCATAAAAGATACTAACAGCAAAGGTTCATACATGAAACAAAAAAGCACTCAACCTCATCACTAACTAGAAAAATGAAAATTAAAGTTAAAAAGAGACATTTATTTTGCCTATTTCATCAGAGAAATATTTAAAAATATAAATATTGATTGTTAGAAGAATGTGGTGAAGGTACTCAGTGCAAAAATTGCTGGAGGCAGCTGCTATCAATGCAAAAGATTGAAAAGGATTTTGACAATATATGTATCATTGAGAGTCCAGAAAGCTCAGATCCTCTAAACTAGTAATTCCATTTCTCCCCATTTCACCTCAGGGAATAAGACAAAGTATGAGCCAAGCTACCGACCAGACATGTTCATCGAACCTTCTTCTTTAAAACAGTGGGAAAATGAAAGAAGGAAACAGTCTAACGGTCTAATCAGAGAAGACTGGTTAGGTGAATTATGGTATACCTCCCGATGGAATATCATGTTTACATGATACCTATGACTTATGACATGGAAAGTGCTTGTGTTATGTAATGGCAATAAAAAAAATCAGGATTCAAATATTTTTGAGAAACAAAAAGAGGTTGAAAGCAAACACTTTCAAACTATAATAATGATTGTGTTAAAGTGGCAAGAATTGTGGCTTTTATATTTTCCAAATTGTATATGGTTTGATTCCATTACTTTTATAGTATTTTTTCCATTGACTTGAGCCCAGCTTAAGTACAGTGAGTATCACCATGACTGTGCTAGCTCCTGATAACTTCCCTTTCAGCCTCTTCTTGCATGTAGCTTTAAGCCAATATATTTTAAGTAAACACATTACTCAGGAGAAAATTCATGTAGCTATCCTGAGTAGCACACAGACAGGCGAGAACAATGGGCAGAGGCAGGAGGACGAACAGCTTCATGGGTCAATGGGTACCACTGTCACTAGCAAGATGGGCCAGGACACATTAAAATGGAACAGGGAGACAGGAGAGCCTTTAGGTGTGTGGAGGCAAAGCCCACCCTTCCTCAAGACGAAGACATGTCCCGCAGGCCCAGCTCACATTCTCTTTCCTTTCTGCACAGTGCCTCAGTTTCCCCTGGGACTTTCTCTTCGATTACTCCTAGGGTTGGTAAGTGAAGTCAGACAGACAGCTCAAAGGCACAACCCAGGGTACTGAGAAGCGATTCAGGGATGGTGCAGGGCCTGTCCCACCCCAGTCACCACAAAGTCCATGACTTTTCTAGGAGACAATCTACTGTTTGATGTGCCTGCTGGTGAAAGGCTATGCAAATGCCAAGTGCTACCATGTAGAGCCTCAGAGGAAGCTTCAAGACAAAGCCAGAAAAGAGAGACTGTGGGATGTGGAAGACAGGTTCAGCACTTGAAACTAGGCATACCTTTTTAGTCAAACATGCCTGTCCCCTACCCCTTGTCTCTTGGAAAAGTCCTTAAGTTCACAGTGGCTGTGCTGGCTCAGATCTGGGGCCATTCCTGAGCCAGTCACAAAGACACCAGAGAAGTAGTGTGCCTTTAATTGGTTGTCCCGAGTTCGTATGCCCCACCTTTTGAAAGAGTAAGAAAAGACACACAGTGGTTTAGATCTGGTTTTCCAGTTTGATATTTAAATGACATGCCAGGTAAATAGAGACTGAAACCGGACTACCTCTTTCTCAATAGTTCCCAAGACTGAACAGCAAGCAAGAGTTTCTGCCTACGGGGCTAAGTGCATTTCCACTGAGAAAGGAGATGAGTCACCAGACACACTTTTCTGTTTGATGAGAAAGAACCCACATTTATCCTACTGGGATGAGGTCAAATACTCATAAATGGCTTACGAGTTTAACCTGTAATTCCCAAGAGAGAGAGCACAATTCCAGCTGCTCCTTACTGTGCAGGGTGCTCCTCTGACATACATTATTTACTGATGAAGCAGAGAAGGGCTTTAGCTTATAAACTCTGCCTCTCCTGAAGGCAGGAGGCTTGTGTGATGTTCACACATGACCACAGGCAATATGACTTTCTTTAAGCTTGAAACAAACAAGGAAGGAACTCTTTCATAGAATGACAAATCCCACACAGTTCTACTATAGCAACTGTCCTTAATGGTTTGAAAATGTACTTTTCCAACTGTCCTGATCTCTGAGACTTTAATTCTTTTCCGTCTCTGTCATGCCAAGCTTCCTGTTTTCCTCCTGCAGACAGACAGACACCAGACTGCAGAAGCCTATGCATCCAGGCACTGTGCTTGGCATGGTCTTCCTCCTCTCTGTCCCCAAAGCGCATGAGCACTGTGACACTTCATGGTTTTTGGATTCAAGACAGATGTTACTGTACATTTTTCTGAGGAACAATCCAAGTTCTACCCCAGAAAAGGGAATATGAAACGATATCAGCAGCAGTTGGCAGGTCCCAGAGTCGTGAACTGTTCCATGAACCACATTTAGCAAACTAATCATTAGCTTCCACTTTTCCGGGCTCTGTAACCATAGGAGTATTGCGTAACATTACAGGGAGGAGAGTCAAATTACAGTCCGGCTGAAAAGGTTTTTTATAGCACTGATGAGGCAAGGCTCAGAAGATGAATGTGTCCATTTTAATTCATTTAATATCCAAACTAAATTGATTACAACCACCTGCCACAAAGTTACCCCACTGCCACAAAGAGTGGCCTGTTTCTATACTTCCTTCCTGAGGCTCCCTTTGCTTAATGGACGTTTCCTGGTGGCATCTGAACATCTCTGAGGCATCGTTTCCAAAGTCTGTAGACCTCTGAGCATTTCTCTCCACCCTGCTCCTCAACCACTGCAGAGCTTAGTGTGATAAACACACCGAGAGAGTGGCACAGTGTTGAAGAGGGCATGTGACTGATGAGCAGGGACTAGGTCTGCTCTTCCACCTACTACCATATGAGCCCAGAAAATCCGGGGACACAGAGTGAAGCTGTGCTTCTAACTGGAAGCTGTCTTAGGTCATACCAAACCAGTTTCTGAAAACCACTTGGTACACCAACAGTGAAAGGAACTCAATGAAGATTTGGGAGATGAATTGATGCTTAAGGTATTTGATATGCAAGCATAAAGACTTGAGTTCATATCTCTGGTACCTATATAAAAATGTAGGCATGAAGGTATGAGCCTGTAATCGGATGGGGAAGCAGAGAGAGGAGGATCCTTGGAATCCACTGACCAGGTAGTCTAGTGGAACATGTACTCTCAGAAGAGAGACCCTGTCTCAAAAACAAGGTGTAAAGTGATAGACGGAGAAACCCAACACCAACTTCTCACCTATAAACACACATGCAACATGTCAAATACATGCAGCACGCACAGAGGCACCCACAACAATAAAAGAGAAAAAATGAAAACATACATACACTGAACAGTAAATCTTTCCTATGGTACAGGCAACCACTAGTATCACTTTCTGTATCACATTTCTACTAGTACATACATATATAAATATATAGATGGACCTATGTTTCTTTTCAGGAAGCAAATGGTCTGGTTTGCACAAGGCCGGCCCTGGGTTTGATCCTCTGCTCCACAAAACAGATATGGGAGCATATGACACATGTCAATTTTTATAGTGTTAATTTCATTTGACAATTTCCTACAAAACTGTCCCATATCCACACATGAATATATGAACTTCTGAGTACTTCACTTTACATATACACCATTCTTGACTTAATGTCCTCTTTTAAAGCAAATTGTGGTTGTAGCCTTGTCACTATGATAAACACGGACATAAACTACTGTTCCTTTCAGATCTTTCCCTGCAGAAACAATTCCTGAAAGTGGACTTTCTGGATCAAAAATATGTGCCTTTTCAGTTCCTAAACATACTACTCAAGCTGCCCTCAAAGTTTTATGCTTGAGTGACTACTTCTCACATCCTCATAACAACATGCAGATGGGCTTCGGTCTTTATCAGTCAAAGAGATTTTTTTGTTTTTCTTTTTCTAAGTTATCTCATTGTTTTAATTTGCATTTTTTGACAAGAAGGACGAGGACAAATGCAGAACACTTGTGTGTGTGTGTGTGTGTGTGTGTGTGTGTGTGTGTGTGTGTGTGTGTGTGTGTTTAAAGTGAACATTACTAAGATATACTTACCTGTTATAACCATACAGTTCCAAACTTTCTGAAACTCATATATAGTCAAGGAGCTACCACAACCTAGGTACTCCATCACCCCAGAAGTCCTGATGCTTCGTGATATTCACTCTACTTCCACCACTTTTACCCCCTGGCAATATTTGCACATAGTATAATACTTCTGAAATTCAGCCATGTTGTTACATGTACAGTAGTTTAATCCTTTTATTAACAAGTCCTATTCAGTGTTCTGGGTATGCCATAATTTGTTTATCCCTTCCTTAGATGATGGACATCTGGGTGCTTTCCAGTTGCGGCTGCTCTGAATAAAGCTACTACAAACATTTGCACAGAGGCTTTATATGGACTACATTTTCATCGCTTAAGTAAATGCTGTATCATCAAGCAGGACTATATCAAAATCTCCAAGAATAGAACAAATGATACGAATGTTTTCCTTTAGATGAAATGGTCACATTGCTTTCCAAAATGTTAGGGCCATTTGCATTCCCACCCACAGAATGGGAGAGCTCTGGTTGCTTCATCTCCTCTCAACCCAGAACTCAGTCAGTCACTTGAATTTTCGATGTCCTAGCAGTCCATCACTTTTCAAGTTATAGCACCACTGACTGATGGTGTCAGAGGTCTCTTCACGCACATGATGGTGTGGTTCTCCTTTACATATGGTATCTGCTCTTCGTGTGTTTTCTTTACTCAACTGATCTTTTCAATATTTTTTTCTATTTTTAATAAGCAGGTGGTTGTCTTAAAAATCAAGAGCTTTTAAAATATATTCTAGAGATAAATCACTGACTAGATCCACATTTTTATAAACACTTTCTTCTGATCTATAACTTTTCTTTTCACAAATTTTTTTTTTCTCTTTACAGTACC